CCCTCGCCGCCCTCTTTTTTTTTTAGCAAACAAAAATGTTTTGCTTTTCATCTCATCCGACATTAGGGAATAAAAAAGGAGAGTAAGATGAGAAGAGCATGTGTAAGTAAGGCACAGAGGGGGGCACTAGGTACATTGAGAAGGTGGGAGCGTATTTCACATGATTAGGTGTGGCATTGATAAACGAGTACCCCTCTCTCTTCTTCTCCACAGTGCTGACGTGCTATATGTGTGGGTGGGTGTCCTGGTGAAGGCTGCATATATTTGTGTTTTAAGTTTGAGATCAAAACCACACCAGTTTTTATTGTATATTTGATGTGAGAGAATCAAGTAAAGATGAAAATTAAATGCACCAAAGTTGACATAAATCTGATTTATCAGACAGTTACAGATAATAAAGAACAAAAGAGGGGATTAAGTAACAATCAAAGGATTTAATCACATAAATATGGCTACAGGCATCAACAGATTCTCTAACTTTGCGATCTTTAGATGATCTATACATTTCTTCTAGTTTTCACACAGTGTTCTTGTGGGCATTGCACAGATCCCACGCTGCACCAACACACTGTGTACTGTACATCCTCAAAAACGCAAGTGTGTGCACTCAGTCCTGCTGCGTGTGAGACTGTAGTCAGAGATTTTTAGATGCAGCCTTCATGCTGACTGATCCACTCTGTAGGCCCCAGTCCAATGCAGTGTGATGGGAAGAATTCATCAGCAGGAATCTAATTACTGCACATTTTATTTACTTTTGTAACCAATTCTTGTGTTAATTTGTACTTTTTAAGGTTATTTGTCTCTAATATTTGTTAAATATATTCGTGGCTCTCTGTCATTACCTCGTGCTAATTGCAGCCCATTAGCTTCACAGGAGAGTTTATTTTGGAAAATGAGGGAGGCAGTTTTGCAGAAACTGTGTTGCTCAGCATCTTAAGTTTCCCCAAAATTCAAAAGTAACATAACAGAGATTAGGAAAATTGGTGTTTGAACATTTTTCAGAGTCACTCCTGTGTTTATTAAAGATCTGAGAAAAGTCTAAACCTGTGCATTGATTTGTGTTTTGAGCCAAGTGTAACAGTTTCATTAGCAGGAAAAGATACAGTAGCTTGTAGCACAATACAAGTAGGTCCACATTTAGTCAGTCAGCTTTCAGAATCGGTTTTTACCCTGTCCTGCAAATACATTTGTGCATTAAAGCAGCACATTTACTAATCACAAATATGTTTTAACACATTGTGCATTAAAGTTGTGTGCGTCTCTGAGCTGAGCATGTGTTGTTTGTGTCGCTGTGTGCCTGCCTCTGTCTGCACAAGTGTTAAATACACCAACTACATCAGCAGACCATTTTCTTCCTCTGTATCTCCCAGTAACCCTCCCCACCCTCCTGTCAGAAGATTGGACCGCACAAGCATCACCCACAGCACTCGCCTGGTGTCACTCGTTTTCTGTCCTCCTCCCCCTTCTTCCTCTCTCCATCTTTTTCTTTCTTTCTTGTTTGTTTTGTTTGTTCCCTCTTCTTTCTTCCTCCTCTTTTCCAATAAGAACAATAGGTTATGGAACGCATTTTCCTGCGGCATTACTCACAGGCACCAGCCGCCACATGCCATTAGGCTCAGACGAGGGAGAGGAGCGTTAGATGGCATTGGCCGCGCATAGCTTGTCTGCCATCTAGTGGTGGGGAGACAGAACTGAATGTACAGAAAGAGAGAGAGGGAGGATATTGGTGTTATGAGCTGGGTTCTAGATGGCAAATCTCCATCCAATTTGTTGAAAGCAGAATAGAATACTTATTTGTGAAGTTGTTGTTTTTTCCAGCTGAACAGGTATGATTGGCTCTGGCCCCGATTCGTGCTGTTGTCACATCAGGTTTCATTCAGATATATGGCAGTGCAACACAGTCTTGCTTACTGCCAATTATTTGGAGATATTCTTTAATAGGGTACAGATCCAATAAGCCAGTCAGCACTATTTTTTAAATGTCGTTTACTTGTTTTCCCAAAATTAAAACATATCACATTTATGTGGTGCTAGCAGTGTACAATAGTTCCACAAACATTTTAATGAAGTTAAATGCAACATAGGGATTTTGTACCACAAAACACAGATGATTTATAGGGTTAATTGAGGGCAATTTCCCTTGCTCATATCATGAAATATTGTTTTTTCAGAGAGTTGCAAGTTGCTGATCAGTATCACTGATTCAATCATTACTTTCTTATGAAATGAGATGTCTGGCTTTCTAAACTCCTGCCAGCTGGAATGGTGGGACAGTGGCACGTACAAACCGGTGTAATCCTCACAATCTTTACAATAAGTTACTTTCTTTGTATATGAAATAGACGTGTAATTTTAATCTGAAGGGTCTATTGAGATTCACAGTGGGGTGGGTCATTTGAGCAGATCCAAAGCGACAGTATAGGAAAAGAAGGGTACAGTGTGGTGGCTCTGGTCATCGTCATTTTGGCAATCCTAATCCGATCCAAAAATGGGCAAAGAGCTGGAGCCGAGGCAGCAAATTAGCTATAGAGGCTAAAACCATTTTTTGAACCAGGCTGTAAACATGTTTATTTTTATATAGGGGCTTATGTAGATTGGTTTACTTTTGGAGCCAGCCTCAAGTGGCCATTCAAGGAACTGCAGTTTGTGGCACATCTGCGTTGGCTTCATTTTTCAGCCACGGAGGAATATGACCATGTTGGAATGGAAAAAAAACTGCTGCTACATCACTACTTGGGCTGAGGCCAAAAGCACAACTAGCCTGGATCTAGAGCTGTCACACTACATGTCACGCTCCTGGATGGGTATCAGAGGGGATCCAAACATCTTAGTTAGGAAATTTGTTACAGGAAGAATATTGAGCATACACACTCCGGAGGGAAGGCAATCTTCATAGAAACGCAGTGTCAGCTTGATGTAAAAACATGATTT